TGTTTTAATCCTTTAATTCTTTTTCATTTGTAAAGATATTTGCGTATTGCTGTACATCCTGTGTGTATTAAGCAATGTGTAAGTGAGGCGCACAACTAACACGCTCTGCGCTGGACAATAGACCAGCTTTGATCTGATTTATTAAACCACCTATATAAGTTACTCAAAATAGTAATGCGCCAACGATGCGCCTCAACACAACCCCTTTTTTAGACCAGAATGCCTATGGGCCCACATATGAGCGCAAATGCATTTTGCATTTGCTAGTTAAACAGCGTGGCGCAAAACATCAAAATGACTCTTAAGCCGAGCTGAAACTAGCAAACAACAATTGCGTCGTGCCTTGCTTCTTATTGCGCGGGTGTATGATAGGGCCCTTAATGTTAACCTTTATGTACTGTTGGAGATGTTTTCATCCACTTTTGGGGTTATTTTCTGTCTTAATTTGGCCACAACTTTCTCTGTGTTTCAGCTAGTAAAATGATTTTTGGTGAAAAATCTTATTTTGACACATATTTTGAAAAAAGGCTCTGAAAAAATAATAAATAAAAAAACTCAACAATACACTCTGGGCAAATTTGTTATGTTAGGGATGAAAACATCCTCTAAATTAAACTGCTGTAAAAATGCATCAAATATTTTTTTTCAATTTTCTTTTCACATAAATCTGTTAAATCAACCTCAGTTGTAATCAAAACTACTAAATTGTTTAGAAAATTGCAGGATTTTTACTCCTTAATTGTTAAATTCATTAATGATAAAATTTAGTTAAAGACCCACACACAAAATGATGTATTTCCAATATAAAAAGTAATTATGGACTGTTTTTTTTTTAACCTTTTATCAAAGTCTTGGACATGTGGAACAGCCTTGCCTTTGATGCATTGTTTTTGATTGATTTTCATTTTTTCTCACTAATTCACTGTTGGCGAATGTTTTTGCCCTATTGACTTCCATTATAACCACATTTTTATCATTATAAAACCATGACACCATATAGTCATGAATTTTTGATTGTTGGTGGTTTTCCCTGTTGGGAAGATTTGTAATTTTTATTGTTGACCATTAGTTGGCACGATTAAACCTTTACATAGGCCTGTGCACAAAAAAAAGCTTTCTGGTTTTTATATGGTGTATAACAGCATATTAAAGTGTGTGTCTTTGAGTGTGTGAGAGTGACCTTTATGCATTTTACTTGAAAATCTAAATTTGCATCTCAGCTCTCAGATCTATGGAGTAAATATTTATGCACCATCAAATGTGATTATAATGCAGGTCAATTTGACCAAAAACAGCCACCAACAGTAATTTAATGGAAAAAATGAAAATATACCAATGCATCAAAGCCAAGGTTGGTACTAATCGATTACATGTGCAAGACTGTGATAAAAGGTAAAAATAATCTAGTTCAAAATTACTTTTTATATTGAAAATAAGTCATTTTGTGTTTTATTTTTTCACCAAATCAGTGACATCATTTATAAATTCACCATTTAAAGAGTTAAAATCCTTTAAATGTAGTAGCAATTTAGTAGTTTTGATCAAGACTGAGGTTATGCAAAACATTTTGAAATAAATATTTGTCTGATGCATTTTTACAGCAGTTTAAGTCAGTGGATGTTTTCATACCTAACATTACAAAAGAATAGTAAATTTAAACAGTACACAAAGGATTAATTTAGAACTTGATTACAATGATTAACACAAATAGAGTGTTGAAAAAAACTCCACAAAGTGCATGACTACAGTTAAAAAGACAGTTTTGAATAATTAATAATTATCTACACTGGTGGTAAATATTGTTATCTGCATTTTATTTCACATGCAACAACATGTTTGTTCATTATTTATTGAATCATCATTTAGCAATCATAATTTCTCTACATGAAAGACCCGCAAATGGCAAATTGATGTGCTACTCCATCTTTTGTATAGCAGAACATTAATAATGCTAAGAAATGAGGAGGATGTTCACTGTGACAACAGTAATCTGAAGCCAGTTTACGTGGAGACAGAATACATGTAACTAAGTAACTCCACAGTACATTAAAGAGGCAATTATGATCAAATATTAACAAAACTTGCCTTCTGTCACACAATCAAATGTATGTACACTTGTTCTTCACAAAAAGCACATTTTTATATTGCTGTATAACAAGGGGACTAGCATGAACTAAAAGTGTTATTTTTTGGCTAAAATTTGAAACCTGGGTCTTGCGAAGGGTCAATTCAGTCAGTCTATTCTCTATAAAAACATGTTACAAAACAACAAGTTTTAATTTACTGAAGTATTTGGTAATATAGTTTTCCCTCCCCCCAATTTTTCCCACAAAAATTAGGAAAGAAAGAGAAAGAAAGTTTGTTTAGTACTTGGCATAGTAACCTATTAAGCTTTTCCTGTCCCCTTACCACACTTCCAGCTATTTCCTAGGAACAGCTAAGAAAGGGCGGATGTTGTCCTTCCTGTCTTTCCATACTTGAACTGTTTTGATTAGCGTGGAAGAGAGATTCGCCTATCTGACACTAGTTCACACGCATGAGGGCTCTTGCATAGGATTGGCTGCAGCAGTTTGTTGATGTTACTTGTTTGGAATGAGCTGTCATTGACCCTTCCTGAGGGCTGATGGCAGTGTGGACTGGCATACAATCAAAATACCATCCTGGACACAGCCAGTCTGATACTTACAGACCTCTTATTTTCAAAACAAGCCCAGTTCAGTTTCAATACTCAAAATGTGATGCAGATGAAGTGACAAGAAGGCTACAAATGATGAAATGCAAATTTATATCATGCAGAATGTACGAGAGAACAATTTACTCTCTACTCTTAATCTCTATTTTCGACAAATAGAGCACTTTAGGGGGGTTAATTCAAGTGTTTTTGTTTAAAACCACATAGGAAGAATACAAACACGTGCACAAGCTCTTTGATGTAAAAGTCTAACTGTGAACAACCACCAAACAGCCTAACAAAACATCAAAGCTTACTGAGATATTCTCAGCTCACCTGTCCTACATTTCAATATGAAAGAGCGCAATCTACTGGACTCACGGGAGAACAAAGATAAGGAATAGAAAGTGTATATGTTTTCCTTTGAGCATGTGTCTATGTTTGAGGGATAGCAAACGGAAAAAAAATTAAAGGTGTTCTCTGATAAAAGCACTTAACATTCTTTGAGTTGAAACAAATAGTAATAACTGAAAGCTTAGCCTTTGCACAAAATACAGTTACTTGTGTATTTGGATGAATGCTGGTTGAAATTAGTTTATGCTACAGAATATATGCTTTTTTTTTTTACCACAAAATCATTCTAAATCATTTATATGATAGTGAAAATTAACAAAAATGTATCATTTGCAAACACTAAGAAAGTCTTTAACGTTCATATTTGCATTTTAAGTGGCTACAAGGCTATGTACACCAACATTCAAAGGTTTTGGGGTAGGAATGTTTAACACTTTTATTCAGGGATGCAATATATTGATCAAAATTAACAGTAAATGGCAACATAAGCTCATTCTGAAACCGTAGCCTAAATACATTTCTGGAGATTGCAAATTATGTACCCAGAGGAACGTATGTCTGCATTTTGAGTTTAAAACGAACGCTTAGGGGTGGTATGACTTCGTTTCTTTTAATGCTTACCAAGTGACCCCATTACCATGAGGATGGCTTTTCTGCTGTTACCAGTTTGTACAGTGGCTCGCAGCGTATGTTGGAGGATTTGAGACACAGAAAGAAGTTGACTTGACGATGGGGTTCAAGTCTGGCAAAGAACGGTTCCAGAAAAAGAGTAAGACAAGAACAAAAGTAGGTAAATAAATAAATAAATAAACAAGTAAATAACAGGGTGAGAATGTGATAAAATCTGAAAAAGTGGTAAAAATCAGGCTGCCGTGAGGGCTTTTCTTTTTCTGGATTGCTTTCGAAAACACTGTCAGTTGGGTTTAGAGAAGTAGGTGGGTGCTGGTCAATCGGTTATTTTTTAAAACATTTATCAATATCATAATATTAAAGCAGCTATTATAACATCATTTATCAATATGTGGACCTTTCTGGATTATTGGAAGCTATGGAAATTCAAAATGTAATCCAGGAAATACATTAGGATCAATGTTATCGTTTACATTCCTCAAAGTGGTCCACAGGTAGCATTTAAAATTTGTTGTGAACTATTGTGAACTATTAAAGCAATATAGAACAGTTTTACTGAATTTTTAATCAAATAAATGCTCCCTTAGTAAACATATGACATTTGTTATACATATTATAGATTATATTTCTGGATAGCTTTCGAAAACACTGTCAGTTGGGTTTAGGGAAGTAGGTGGGTGCTGGTCAATCGGTTATTTTTAAAACACTATTGGTTGGGTTTAGGGAAGGAAGAGGGTCAGTAAGTCAGTTGACATCGGCCTCTGGTGGATTTTTTACATGAGAAAAGCAGTAGCGAATGGCACTTGCGGGAGAAATTTGAGGTATTCAAAAATTTACACAGCGTCCTGATAATGGATTTGCAAACATTTTTTCAAAAAATGCAAAAAAAAAAAAAATAGCTCCTGGAACGTATTTGATACTCTGCAGAAATGTATATAGGGGTACGTAATCAGAATGAGGCTGGGTTGGTAAATGTTTGTATCAAATTACAAAAGAGTACTATCGGAAATGTATACTGTACTTTAGAATAAAATAATTTCCACAAAATTGAAAGCAGTAATTCTCTTTTTAAAATTGATAACAATAAGAATTGTTTCTTTATTCCCAAATAAAAATGGCTTTGCCATCATGGGAATAGATAGCATTTAGTAATTTGTTGTTTTAAATGTGAACTATTAAAGCAATTTAGAACAGTTTTATTGATTTTTTTTATCAAATAAATGCTCCCCCAGTAAACATGACATTTTGTATATATTATAGATTATATATTTTTAATCTTACCTACCCCAAGCATTTAGGATGGTAGCGTACATGCTCCCATAAAAGGAGAATGATTTAGGCAACCTTAGAGTTGATAATCTGTTTTAATCACATTCAAAAATCACATTCAAATTAATATTTCAATGCAAATGCAAACTGGGGGATGGGTAAAAATTCATTGTCCTTTTTATCTGTAGTAACTGAGAACTTTTAAATAAAACTGGAACATTCCTTTAAAAAACTCAGCTAATGCTCAGTCATTTTAAAACAATACTGTCAATACTAAGAAAAGGTGCATCAATACCACAGGTTTTATTCCTACTTTAAAAAACAAAATGATAATGAATTAAATGCATCTCACAACTTACTTTATTAATAAACTGAGCTTTTTATATGTGAGAGTGAAAAAATTTTGTAGTGCATGCAACATTTGCTTCGCAAAAAGGGAAGTCAAATAAAGTCAATGAAAGGAAACGCTATTTAAAGCGAACGGACACTGATCGGTTGAGTTTGGTTTAATCTTCAGACTTTTCTATATGACATCATTCTTTTCATTCACAAAAAATAAAACAAAATAATAATTATTTCAAAATAAAAATGAAATGAGGTTAGAGAGTATCATGGGGGAAAGATAAAGTAATATATAAAATATAAAACAGGTAAAAATCAATTAAAGAAATAACAGCTTATCAAAAGATACTGAACGTTTATTCTCTGCCTTGACATTGTTCTCTTTGCATGTTGTTGCATTTCATCAGTAAAGTCCGTGTTTGGGAGGGTGTGTTTGGGCTCACATGATGGTGCAGCACTTGCATGGTTGTTTCTCCTTGCTCTTGACCTCAGCATTGTCCCCTTCTGGCTGCTCAGACTCTCTTGCTGCCTCTTCAGCCTTATCTGCCTCTGCTGGGCTGCCATTAGGGGGCGCCTGCTCCTGCTTGGTGTCACTGCCAGCATTTTTGCCTTCTCCATCCTCAATGAGCACCACCTCAGCCTTCACAGTCGTGCTCTCCATCCCCAAAACCTTCTTTGTTTCATCCTCATCCTCTACGCTCTGGTAACCCATGAAAACCATTGTAACTGGGTTCTCCGCACTGGCTCCGCTCACTTCCGTCTGCGGGGCTGCGGGTTTCGCTTCTACGCCCGTGATTTCCATGATGGGGGTAGAGCTAGCTTCAGCTGGGGTTACATCTTTCTCATGTTTCTCCTCCTTCTCGGCTTGCCCTCGCTCCAGTCGTGGCGTTGTCTTGCTACTCTCGCCCATGGTCACCTCATCAGCTTTGTGGAGGAGCTCATCAACCTCTGAAGAGCTCAGCTGGTGAACACCATTGGTTACTGTGCCATCCACACTGCGCACTTCATGCACCACTATACAGAGAAAAACAAGACAAACTGAGTCAGGGAAAGTCACTCAGAGACCTCTCAATAATTTTCTGACTGACTGCATTTTGTTTCTGAACTGACATGACAATGCCTGGAGAAACATTGACCTGAACAAACAAGAGTGCTCAAGATCAAGAAAAGGTTGCAGGTTTTTATACAGTTAAAGAAAAAAAATTGTTTAATATGAAAGAAAAAAAAAAGAAAAACAAATGCCTTAATCTTCTTAAAATAAGTTTTAATATGCTTTTTGCAAAGACGTAAAATAATATTTCTTTGACACTAACCGTCATGGAGTAAATTTTACCCATTCCATTTCAAATGTACCAAACAAAGACCTTCAACATAACATTCAAGCCTCTAGGTTGTTGACTTTTGCTAAAATTGCCTCATTTACAATTCCTTGAGGTCAAAAATAGTTTAGGTAAAACCAGATAAAAAAAAAAAGTAAAAAAAAAATAAATTGGGCATTTTTACATGCCACCATTGGTCAAACCCTGCTATAAAAAGCCTGCATTGATCTGCTGTTTGTGTTTTAATTTTGTATGCTGCATGGCAACACATTTTTATGTGCTGGATTAATGATAATCAATCATAAATAAATAAATAAAGAAAGAATGTAAAAGAACATACAAGAATGTGATTTGTAAAGGTAAAATAAGTGATGTGCCCAGCTCGGTCACCTCAGTATCTGAGAGTTCATCTGACAGCGATCCAGAGCCTCTGATACTCAACGCATGATTAGATCTATACATTTTAGTCTACTCTTATTGGAGTTCTCTTATTTAAACTATAAATTATAAGTAGGGCGAGACAGAATCTGCCAACATTCTGTTGAGAATTTTGTAAAAAAAATTAGCAGATTTCTGCTTTATGATCAGTATCATAACTAAGAACTTAATATATGAAAAATATATACTTTTTAAAACTTGTGTGTTTTTTAAAAACTTTTTAAAACTTGTGTAAAAGGTTTACAATGCAAATCCAATATATAAATTTGATAAACAAAGCAAGTCTCTGATTTATCTGCAAAAAGACAATATTGTACTGTATTGTAAATAAATAATTTTCATAGTAGTCATTATTATTACTAAATGATTATACAGACATTTACACAAGTAAATAAATAGACTCAATGATGGGCTAAAAATCTGCAGATTTCTGAGCGCACAGATTCCGTGTGGGCTAAATTATATGACAAAATAATTAATTAGGTGAAGCTGTGCGCTTAAATGTGTCTTTGAATCATACATCATAGGCAGTGATGTGAATTATTGTTCATTATAGTTTAAATTACATGGATATATTAATATATGATTATTATTAAACCAACAAAACATGAATTGACTAATAAATAATTTTAGTCAGTGCAGACTTGTTTACCTTAAAGCTAACCTATCATTATGAAAGTGAAAATGCAGCCTGCATTAAAATGCCTCAAAGTAAAAAACAGGACAAAAATAAAGTTGATGACTAGACATGATCATTTTATGACTCCAGGTACTTTTGTTACTACAGTGTCATAATACAGTGAAATAATGCTTTTTTTTAGCATTTCTAAACAGAATTCGTACATGGGTAAAATTTACTCTCAGTGGCAGTTGTAGGTAGGTCAATACAGCAACCCCTAGCAGTACATTTATGACTTTATGTCAAACAAATAATTTTAAATAACTATGTAATTGTATGTTTTACATGTCACTTACAATATGTTTCCATCCAAAGATGCAAATTAAACCTATGCACAAAACTGGAATTTCGCATAAAACATTTCCATCCAATGAATCAAAGAGTACAAAATCGTCAGTTTCTGATAAACGGCGTCAAATATCAAAAATAAAAATTTTATTTAGTGTGGTAGGAGAAGCCAATGTGTCTCTTTCCTATCTAATAAATTAGACAAAATGCAATGAATAGCTGGCCTTTGGAAACTAGACCGCACCTCTGGAAGGAAGACAGTTCTTGGAGGTAATAATACTGAACCACTTTAAAGTCAGCATGAAATCAAAATTGAATCTTGTTCTATATAGTGCTGCTTGTTATAAACAATGGATCTTATAACCTCAAATACCATAACCTTCCCTCCCCCTCAAAATGACATTTCTTCAGTTATGGTCACATGGAATGTCTTAAGTGAGGCTCTATCAGTGGCCATCTGATTTCTTCCCTGCCTTTGTCCATTCATCAATCTTCCTCAATTTTGTTAACAATGCCCATCTTCCAGTGATCCAATCGGTTCCCAAAGGATGAACTCATGCACAGCCAAACAGCTCTTTCCTAATTTCAGGATCATTTCAAGTGGATTTATGTCATGATATTGGAATAAAGGACATCAGTTTCATGCTGACTTTAATGACGAATGGTTCTCACTTCTTACTCATAAATCAAATTTAAAATTGAAGAATGGGTCCTCCAGGTTGGGGTTTAAGTGTTATGCTAAGGACCCACCTCGTAAAGATTAAATGTTACGGAACACCAACATGGTGTGGCTGAATATCAACTTCGATATAAATGGCACTGGGAGTAAGTGAATAAGAATCAAGAATAACTTCTTTATCCACTTAAGTATACCTGTAAATTTTTGCCATTTTTGTTAACACGATCAAAACAATATATATATATTTTTATATGCATGCTGGAATTTATTCATCAAATGTGTGTCGATTGTAGTTTATGCAAACTTTTTAAAAAAGTATATCCTACTCAGTCGTGCGCATTTGTATTTTATGTGTGTTTTTAAAATCTCTATGAAGCATTTTATGCGATAGTCCAAAATGTGCATACACGGTGGATACCAACATGGCTAATGTAAGCCTACAAAAACATCAATCTACTCATTGATGAAATCTATGGAATGCATACTGTGCCTTGTAAGGGACTATTGTTAGTGTTGTCTTTCTGGGTTATGTGTCAAGTGAGCTTCACTTGAAGTGCTCACTTGAGTGAGGGATCAAACACAGGGAAAGTGTGGCAAGCTGAGTAAACAGAGCAGGAAGCAAGCAGTGCTGCCGGTGTTAGCATTAGTAGCTAGAGGCGTAAGCCTTAAAAACTGATGCAATATGAGTGATACAAGTATTTCATTAAATATCCATAACATTTTGAAGAATTAATTTAAAATGTACTACATTACTATTTTATTGTTTAACAACAAACATTTAAAGGTGTAGTAGGTGATCTGCCAAAATGATAACCGGTTAGCATATTATCTTTGGACGGGATGCCTCCTGAAATCACGAACGTGCGCACCATGACATGACAGCAGACAACCCACTAGTTAATGTTATTCGCCAGTAAGAAATGTATTTAGGGCTTGGAATTACACTTGTTAGTAAGCCACACATACATGCTATTTCAAAGTGAATATTCAGAGTAGCAGTAAACAATATAGGGAGTGCGTCACAGGCTGTCATTGTACAAACATGACCGAATGTGAATATACATTAAAAGCAACTTCAGCTCAGTAAAGTAGGCTAGGTGGAACAGCACTATTTATTGATGTTTTGTTGCTAAAATAAATGTAAATATACATTATCGATGCTGTAAAGCAGGGCTAGTCAATTAGGCATGGGGGCTGGTTCATGAAAACCATCCCAAACGAAGGGCCGGAGGAATATGACTATATGAGTGATGACACAAATAAGAGCCTGTATGCTGTATTTGTGCTCATAAAGACACCAATGTTGGCTTTTTCTACATTAAAATGTTAATATATTGTATTTTAAAACAACATAATATCACTGCATTGTCCAACTATGGTTGGTTTACAAACATTCAAAATGTTGTATTTTGTACAACAAAATCAGTGCATTTGCTGAAGTAGGCTTCTTCTACATTCAGACACAATCATATATTATGTTTTGAACAGCATAACAATTAGTGATGCAACATTATAGATTTTGTTGTACGATATAGTCTGAAGAATAATCATGCTTTCACGGTTATCAAGTCTAATGTAATTTAGAACAACAAGCTTTATATTTGGGAAGTAGCTATTTAGATTAACTGTTGTTATCATCTGGGTTCATGTGTATATAATCATTTTAATAATAATTCGTCTAACATATATTTTGAATACATTGCACTGAAAGGCACGTGCAACTCTCACCGTGAGATGTTTTCTACTGCGTGCGCCTGGACAGAGGCAAGCGCGTTGCTTCGCTTGTCCGAGCATATTGTCATTCTTACATTAGAAATAACAAACTTGCAAGCGGAAAAGACGTGATATGGGAACGGCCGCTGCCATAGTTAATCCGGTGTGCATGCGTATTAGCCTTGGTGTGCATACTTGGATCTTTAAACAGCGCACAGTTGGCAGCTTGTCATAACTTTTCAGTGGAACAGAAATGGGGCTTAGAGAAGCCTTTACGATTAATTAACTGTGACGAATTAAAGCGCAGTTAATAGTGAAATCAGCTAATTACTGCATCCCTATTAATGATTACAGTGCATTGTACAAAAGGCATTTTCTACAAAACATATCCAAATGTTTTCGGCTGTCCCTACCACTCGCTTATGGTGACTCACACTCTGCGCAGCCTCTGCAGCTCATACTGAATTGAACAGACGCATGCCACTTCATAGCTATAGTGGCCGTTTTTCAACTGAACTAAATTTATTTTTATGTCTTGGATACACTAATTGGAGGGCCAGAACATATTGCCTCAGGGGGCCGGGTTCGGCCCGCGGGCCACCAATTGAATAGCCCTGCTGTAAAGGTTCCTTATGAAACTGAAAATAGTCACATCAATCTTTCGCCGGAAGATTTCAGTGGCTGAACAACACTTCTGTGTTTATAACCCATTTGTAACCACAACATCTACATCAGCTTTGCGTGACTAAAATTGTTTTAAAACATAACATTACCTGTCTAAAAGAAATACTTTATTCATGGTGTCATCCTTCCTCCAGTATGCAAAAGTAACTCCAATATTGATTCAGGATTTTAAAAAGTTTCAATGCAGCATTTGATTTTACCGCGACTGTGAGAA